ATACTTCACTTGTTACTACCGATTATGAAAGCATAAAACAGATCTTCCTTATTCCAGTTTTCTTCTTTTAAATTATCAATAAAAACAAATGACCTATCCCAGAAAATGTCGAAACGTTTTGTGCTTATGAGATATATGTACACCTGAAGTGTTCAGCTTGTCCCATTACGTTGCAACTGCTTGGATTGTGAGGACAGATATGTTTTGGCAGTATGTGAGAAACCCAAAACTATGACACTAAATACCCGGTCCCATACACAGAACGCAGAGCTAATCAGACAATCTTCAAGAACAACTATCTATTAAACAATCCCGAATCTAAAGTTTAACTAGAAAAGCATAGACTAGAAGTTCAAGTGTAATAATCCAGGAACATGCATAGTTTCTGATCGGAGTGTGTGACATAAACATTTAATGGTCGTAGTCACCTTCAGTGTAGGAATTGACACGAAAACTTACCGGTTCGAAGTTGTCACACCATAGCACAGAGGGAGAGGAAATTACCATGATGATAAGTAAAGACATTATAAGTCGCAGTGATGGAAATGCATTTATCAACTGAATCTTGAGAGTCAACATTACACTTTACTTGCCGATTTCATTCGTTGCTTCCGGAACAATCTAGATGTTCCGTCTCTTATTATTATCGATATCATTATTTCGAAATCTTAAATTTCTACCTTGTGAATAAAAATAGACAGCTATTTGTCGCTCTAGACTATTATGGCAATGTGTAATGTATTTCTCTTTAGTGAGGTGATGTGTGGGCGAGAATGATAATGATTGGTTGTCTGCTTAGTCTGACAGTTGTCAGATGAATTATATATTCCCCTATCCTTATTATTATTACTCACTTATTATTGATTGTTCACTGCTGTTTGATTGTGTCGGGTTTCGGTGTGGAAATACATTACGTTGTGGTCAGGCTAATAATGTGTTCTTGATCTGAGTTGCGTTGAAGTCCTGTAGAATAGACACTGGGAGGGAATCTAGTGTAGATAATCGTCTAAGGTAAATTAACGTTCCATACGTGTAAACCCAACCGTTATAACATTAGACAAAGTAAGACCGAGCGTTATAACATGAGGAATCCTCCTATCAGTTATAGATTCACTTGATGTTGCTAACTTGTATCTTCCCATTGTCATTTAAGACTGCATTTAATCAGTCCCACATTGGCATACGTGCATCCTGTGCGGACTGCCTCGATACTGCCTTAGATCACAAGCTTTGTTAGGACGAAACTCACGTCCTGGATTCCACTGCTAGCTACTATCCATCTGTCCTATCAGTTAGCTTCAAAATGGAATTCGTTAGGAAAGTAACCTAGATGGAATTTATGAACAGACTACTTGATGCCAATACATAGATGAAATCCTAAAGTGGTTGGAAAACAATAACAGAAGACATAGAAATGTACGCAAAAACATTCGACTGACTATAAACTGTCGAAAACAACAATTTGGAGTTGGGGAGCACATAAAAATTTTAGGATTAGGTGTTTACTGTTTTGCAGCACTGTCTTTATCTCTTATAAACGTCACCACTGCAATACGTACGCATTCAAGATACATGAAAATGTATGAAAGTAGACAGGTCTAATCAAAGGTAGGTTGAAATTATGTGATGTTGCTATTAAATCGGCTTAAACACGTGCAGACAAAAATATGCAGTCACATTTAGCCAGACAGCAATGAATGACAAAAACGGGATAAATAAGTTTGAACATACAAAAACGATCTGTCCCAGCAATTGTCAACCAGACAGAAGCAAAGAGTACTGGATTCCGAAAATATTTCAGAAAACTAATCCAATACTTATATTGTGTTCATCAACTGACATTATTTATCAAGCACTAATAGTGAGTTTGTGTTGAGCAATGTGCTTAAATTCACTGTAATTAACATGCTGTTTGTAGCGAATCTCAGGAAATTTGTAACAATTCAGTAAGCATAAACTGAAGATTCTGGAGAAGCACTCCATAAAAAGTCTATACTATCTAATGGATATAAAAAAATCCATTTCTCCAGAAGCAACAAATTAGGTTGGTATTACTCTAATTGACAGATAGAAGTAAAAAGTGTGTAATTCGGCAAAAATTTATGTCAGTCTAAATCCTCAAAAATTACATTTACTAAGATAAGACCAGAGAAGTAAAAATTAAAATACTTATCTTTGCAGAAAACTACACATATTAGACAGTTTAAAAGGGACGATTGAGATTTGGGGATGGAAAGTATGTGATAGTGTTTTTCTCGGGATTAAAGAAAATAAAAGAATAAATGTACCTGAGCTAGTGACAGGTTTCAAACTAGTTTAACTAAGTCCTCTAGTGATAGGTTACGTTTGTTATTCAATGCTGTATCAACAAATGTTCACCAAACCAAACATTAGACTACTTTTCCAGAAATTAACAATGGTTGGCTCTCTATTAAACTTGACAAAATGGCCTGCAGTAAGTTCTAGATAAATAAACGTTGTAAACTACCAAAGAGCACATAAATAAACGGTTAATTGAACAAATACAATAAATAAAATGAGAACCATTTTATTAAAAGACTGGATATAAAAGTATCAAAGTGAACTTTGAAAATAAGGATGTTACACTATTACTTTTCTAAACTAACTTACTTTTATGGTTTAATTCTAACATTTTCTGTCCATAGATCTTTCATCACAGAGGAGTCCAAGTTCTGATAAAAATTTCGTAGGATTGTCATCGTTCAGACTACTAGAAATGAGATCATACATTCCAACAGACTTTGCACGGCTCGTTATTTGCTCTACTGATACCTTGGCAATGCGAACAGCAAGTGCATAATATTTCCAAAGTCGAGAACTTGAAGTTACCGCAGAAGTTGCATTTATTAGAATTTCTAGAAGAGTTGATAACTGTTCAGATGATCGTATATGTGAAAGAGTTTTAAATGTTGTCGAAGCATACAAAAGCCAGAAGTCTTCATTATCAGGTCTATCTAAACATCCGATTGCACACAGACTTTGAGCTAAAAAGTGGTCACCTAGAGCACACAAAGTCCGACACAAAGAGGGAACCAGAGAAGCACCATATATTTCAACAAGCTGTACACATATATCGTGACGAATTCCAGAAGGAAGAAGACCTAAGTTAATTTGTTGAATCAACTCAAGAAAGTACGCTGGAAGTAACTTACGATCCAACTTGAAAGGGTTATCGATGAACAGTAACTTTATGACAGTAGGATAAGTTGAACTATCTAACTGATTTACATGACTTGCTAATAATAGACTCATTAGGGCTAAAAGACGAATGAAAACATAATTTGGATCTTCGTTTGCACAACTCATGATGCATGACTTATAGTGACTAATTAAGTGGTCTAAAACTTCACCGTAATTTAGGCAATGGATAGTGGTATACAGACAATAACTGAGCCATAAATATGTGGAACTTCGTGGACACACTTTAAAGTTAACAAGACTGCTATTACTGGACTTTATATTCAACAAATTTTCATACGCTGAAATAACACTTTCGCAATCATCTTTTGGAAGAAAGATTAAATTGCCTAAACACTCAATAAGATGAAACTCCGTAGAATTTAATGTTTTTCTACGCCAATTTAAACATGTTATCAAGAATCCAAATTCAATTCGATGGGCTAAATTAAGGTTGACTCGTAATTTGTCAGACACATTACTAATCAAGCTTGTCCAGTCAAGAGATGAATCTAAGGAAAATAAAGAATATACTGCAGATGGGAAAAATAAATCATCTACAAACTCAGGGGAATGTAATGCTACTGTCAGTGCTATATCTGCTGCACTTTTAAATTTGGAATCTGCATTAAGAGTTTGAATGTATAAATGAGTGATATACAGAAAGCAAGTGAAGCTAATATCATTTTTAATTGTTTCAAATGATTCCAGTAATTGAGATAAATTTTTAGAAATACCAGTTTCAGTGGCTGCCATTTCAATAATTTCCAGGTTAGATAAGAGGACTGGTTTGGAGAAGCATGGTGAATTGGCGGTAGAAAATAGGTTTTCATGGGGTAAAGTACCATTTAGTTGGTGATATAATCGTAACCACCACAAGAAATAAATTAGCTTGTTCTCCGTAGGTAATGATTTGAGAGTATGTTTTAGGATGGTAATTACCTTGTTATGTAAACCAAGTTCTTGTTCAAGCAAACACCACTGATAAACGAAGTACGCGAAAGATGACTCAAACTTTGATTCTTGACTTGCTTGTGCATCTTGCTGGAATTGAAGAGTTATATATTCAAGAGACAATTTAATTATTGATCTGCGGATTGGTATGCTTAAATTGGGATGTCGTAATGCTAATCTACAAGCATTCAATGGAAAACTGGAGGCTTTTAGGCAATCAAAAAGCTTTTGCTTAACTGTTATTGGATCTATATTAGAACATAACAAAAGTCCGAATACTAGATGGGCACATAAATCTGCAGGGAATGAGGAATTTTCGAGGTCGCTTGAGAATTTATGAAGGAAGGCCGAGCTTTTTGGTTCTGAACGTAAATATGCAAGATAAGCTGTATGCCAACGTTGTATTGCTGATGACTGAGAGAAATCTGATGCAGACATGACCAAATTTTCTTTGCAGACTTCACAATACACGTCATCATATCTCCCTTTATTTCCCTCACCAAGCAGAGACACAACATCCGTGCTAACCATGAATAAAGGGGAAAAAGTTTTCGATTTTGCTTTTATAACAGTTGAATTTTTGGGATGCTGAAATATACATGTTTTGTCTAGACATTCACCATCGAGAAAAAATGGGCAAATCGGGCGGAATGGATCGAATTCCAGCAAGGTTTCTGAACTTGGTTTTACTGTTGCCACCGGCTTCACACTTTTCATGTTAAACTTTGATGTAGTTGGGTTAAAATGATAGTGAACAAGAAACCACGTAACCACTTTCGCTCTTTGTAGAACATCTAGAGACAAAATAATAAGATCTCTGCGTAGATTTACAGATGATAAAGCAAAACCTGTTTGTATTATGTCCGCAGTGGAACGGTTTACAGAATTAAGCACATCTGAATATAATTTTTGGGCTGAAGCCAGTTTTCGCTGATAAGTAGCATTTGTACGTTGGGCCTTGACAAGAGACTTACTAGCTTCTTTATACAACAAAGCTGTATGCTTACTGCGCCTACGAAGTTCTGATAACGTGGTCGATAACTTCCGAACGATTTTACGTCGTTCATCTATCAAGTGTTGTTGACGTTTAACAGTTAGTTTCAGTCGGAGAAGCTCCATTTTTCTTTGCAACAACATTTTTTCTTCTTGATGAAAACGACTGATTTTCTCTGACTGATTAGGAACATCCATGTTAATAGGAGGCTTAGAAGCGCATCTTTTTGCTGTTGAACCCTTGAAAACAGCACCAACAGGTTGACTAAGTGAGTCATCGCTATCTGATGATTCATGTAACGTAATTATAAATTTCTGCTTATGTTTTAGAGTTGATGAATCACATGATGCCTTGACTTTTGAAAACGAATTCCTGACTTCAGGTAAGTTATGGAGCAGTGTGAGATCAGTTTTCGGTTGAGTTCTATTCCCTGAAGCGGTTTTTTTCTGGAGCAGCATACTCCTTAGTGCACGACTTCTGAGTTCAATTTCATCTAATTCTGCTGAGCACTTCAGAAATAAATAACAAATGAGGTAAACCTACGTTCTGAACAACTGGATCCTCGGACTCTGTGTATGCGGAGAGGAAAGCATCAGCATATTCTGATCCCGAGTCTTCCTCGGAAGTAACAATTTCCATCGGGACATCATCCAAATTTACTTCACATAATGACGTTTGTATGATATCATTTGAAGGACCTAATAAACACACTTTATGTAAATGAACTCGATATACTGCTTGTTGGTGGATTGAAGGTTGTAGATGGATCTTGAAGAAGCGGCCCCCGTTTGGGTTGAGACGATAAGGGCACAGGGACACTGAAAAACGAACTTTCGTTTCCTTGTGGAAGGGGTATGATACATGAGAAAGGGTTATGAACAAAAATATTTTGCAGAGGATAATGATAATTTTCCATTTACCTAAAATTTGTCAAAGAAAAAAAGGCGTCAGTATAGAAATTCAGTTCTCGACGTAGTGAAAACATTAAAGATTTCAGTGATGCATTTTAAACATTATCCTAAGTTTCCGTGGAAAGGAGTTCGACATCTTTATGCAGAAATAAAGACGCCATTTGAAGTTGTCTAGTTGGTATCAAGTAATAAAAACCTTCTAGAAGCACTCTAAAATTTCAAAGGCTTGGGCTTTCAAATCACTAGACCGATAGGACACGGTTTCTGACATTTTCGCGAAATTAAATTTAAAAAAATAAAGACCCAATATTGATAGCAACAAAACTCAGAATTATATTCTGTTTTATATTTCCAAGGGACGAAAGGGAAATTTGTGAAGGAAAAATCGCCATATATTATAGTCACTAGTGAGGATTGACTTTACAACCGTTACATATTCAAGCCAGTGATTTGTGAGAAAGTCAGTTGTATAACACTTCTCAGGACTTTGGAGATAAGGAAAAAGGGAATGAAAACAAATAAATAAAAACGTGTTATTTAGTCATTCATTCATAAAGTAGAACCTGTATGCATGTACCCCATTAGCACACCGAAATGAAATTGTCAGGCAAAACCCCAGACCAGTAGAAGTAGTAACAGTATCAGTGGTAATAGGAAAGATTAAACACAGAAGATGCAACTCGAAAAATATATATAAATTAGCGGGATAAGAACGAAAAAAGTTATGAGGAACTTAGAATCTCAGAATTTGGGTGAAGACTAAAAGTAGATGAGCCTGCGCCATTGCAAACGATATTGAACCATGTCATCCAAAGTCTCTGATTATTGGTTACGATAATCAAGTGGACCCCAACCACGTAGTCTGTCAGTCATCTACAACGTAGGACCAGGCACATATGTGCATCGGTCCAAATTTCCATACTGCATTAGCACAACAAGATTCACTAGATTCATAGAAGTAGTTAATTCAATGGTGGTAATATATAAAAGGAAGATTGCATATAAGGATATAGTACAAGAAGAGAGAAATAGTTAGTAGAAAGAAAGATATGGAGCGATTTTACTCTCTTAGTTTAAGGGAAGCCAGAGAGTGTATACACCAATGCCATTGTGATCGATTCTGAGCCATGTCACCAAGAATCTCCAACCATTAGTTACGATAGTCACGCACACCCTAACCAAGTAGTCTGCATCCACCAACGTGGCTCAGACTAGAAGTTAGTGGTTTCAAGGACTGATGCCACGTTTTGGTTTGACCGCCCCTAACTTTCTTCCAACCGTCTCCAACACCACTCAGCATTGCGCGTCGTGGTAAACGGTGTTCAGGCATACGAAACACATGGCCCAACCATCCCATTCAACGAAGATTTACAACCTCATCAACTGATTTACCATCGTTCCCCAATACCCTGTGTCTAACCTCACTATTACTTACCCGGTGATCCCAGAAAATGCGAGCGATATTTCTAAGACATATTTGACTAAATACTAGTAGCTTACGAGAATCTTCTACTCGTAATGGCCACGTTCCGCAGCCGTAAAGTAAGACAGAACGGACTGCCGCGCAGTATACTCGTCCTTTTATTGATAGACGGATATCTCGCCTTCGCCATAGGTGACGTAAGTTGGCAAAAGCCAAGCGAGCTTTTCGAATCCGTGCTGAGATTTCGTCAGACACCAACGCATTAGGGCTGATCAGACTTCCAAGATAAGTGAAGTTGTCAACGCGTCCGACTACTTCACGCCCTATCCTTAGTTCAGGTGTTAACGCAGGTCAGTCCTGAAGCAATAACTTGCATTTAGATGGGGAGAAACGGGTCCAAAACACCCTGGCATTGTTGCTCAGTGCTACCAAAAGACCTCTGCATTTTATCAGCGTCTTCGAAAAACAGAACTATATCAGCTGCGTATTCTAAGTCGATAAGTGGACCTCCTGGAGGGAGATCAATGCCCAAGAATTCAGTCGACGGGAACGTTATTTCCATCAATATACCTATAATGAAGTTGAACAAAAGTTGAGATAGTGGACAGCCTTGACGGACAACACTTGAGGTTGAAAAATCAAATGACAACTTTCCATAAGCTCTGATCCGACTGGTAGTGTTCGAGTAAAGAGCCTTCACAAGGTTTATGTACTTCTGAGGTACGCTTTTCAATAACAGACACTGACACAGAACCTCCCGGTCTACAGAATCAAATGCTGCTTTTAAGTCAAGATAAACTGTCATTGTCGGACGACGATAAGTATGCTTGTGTTCTAGAACCTGACGAATGGTGAATATGTGGTCGATGAAGCCATAACCAGGTCTGAAACCAACCTGATTTCCTCGTGTTTGCAGCCTACGAGCCTTTGTTAAGCGTACGACAATTATTGAGGCTAGTATTTTAGGTTCTATACTAGTCGAACTAATCCCGCTATGGTTATCACAGGATGATTTTGACCCCTTCTTACATATTGGGACGATCAGTGATTGCGACCAGTCAGATGGAATTATATCCGACTCCCAGATTTTAGCTAAAATATTAGTCAACCCAATCATTAAAACTGGACCACCAGACCTAAAGACCGCTGGAACAAATCCATCTGAACCAGCTGCCCTTCCTCGTTTCGGATTAGCTATAGCTTTCTCCACTTCAATTCGAGTTGAAGGACCTACTTCAATGTTCCATTCAGGCTTTCTGGGAATGGTAAGCAGTTTTAGAATAGCTGAAGGCCAGCTACACTGCTCTCTAAAGTGTTCCGCCCATCGTCCTAAACGTCTGGACTGAGAGCAGCCTCGTTTTCAGAACTATTTAAGTGTGACCTCAGTTGTTCCTGGAACCTACTTTTGGTTTTCTCGTTACTCAATTCAGTTCTAATGGGTCTTCTTAGTGTGGCTTTTCTGCATCCAGTGAGGCGTAAGCAGATGCGTGCTCATATTAGAGTGTGGTCGGAGTCCAAGCAGGTACTCCAGAATGAACGACAATCTTCTATCGAACCTCTCCAACGATGACTGATGCCAATATGGTCTATTTGAGTCCATCGTTGGTTTGGTGCAGGAAGTCGCCATGTTAGACGATGTCTCTCCTAATGCTTAAAATGTGTGTTTGCTAAAAATAAACGATTGTCTGAGCACAGTTGCAGCAGACGATCACCATTATCTGTTCGCTGTGTCGGAATACTAAAATACACACCCAAATGCCTTTCTGTCTGGTTTAAGCTACCTATCTGGGTATTAAAGTCATCTCCCACGTGTACTATATCTGAACGTTTAGCTTTCTGAAGAAGTTCAGAGAGCTTTCTGTAAAATTCATATTTCACTTCATCCGAGCTGCAGTCAGTGGAAACGTAGACAGAAACGACAAAAAGGCAACCACGTGTGTCCCTATCTTTCCGAGTTCTTACGGAACCGTTTAGCCGAACAACACATAGACGACTGTTAACGGGGATCCACTTTAATAATACTTGTTCCGCCCTCATGCTTAGTGCTACGCTTACACCTGCCAGTACACGAGGACTAGCCATCGGGTCGCCAGATACACGGGGGTGTATCTCGTTAGCTCTCCGTCTTGCCGAGGCGGGGTCAAGTGAATTACCACACTAGGATCCTGTATGCGTGTTTCGGAGACGCAGCATACATCAATCGTACGAGATTCTAGGGTTTTAGCCAAGGAGGCCTGCTGACCGACTTGACATAGTATGTGTACGTTGGAGGCTCTAATGTGTAGTTTGGAGCGAGGTTTCAGTGGACCTGGGACAGTGTTTTGCACACTAGAATCGTTGGCTATGGTGACACTCGAGGACGGAGCCGAAACAGGAAGTTTAGAGTTGAAAGTCGATGTAGGAGGAATTATAGGAATTGAAGAGGGAGTTTGATTATGAATACAGTGGTACTTGAGTGCTGTTAGATATATGAGGGCGGTTATCACTTCCCGGTTATCTACACCGTGGAAGGGTTTTTCTGGAGGTACCTGAAAAGGAAATTGTGTTAGGGGTGGTCTCAGTGACCTTTTTGTGTTAGCTCCGTACTTGTTGAGACCTTGCCGCCGGAGACGGATATTCGTGAGATAATGCGAGGTGTGCATTTCTAGGATTGACCTTTGCTAACTCCACCCCTCCTTGTGGGAAGGCAGCATCGCCGTCATGCTGGTTGTCTGAAGGAAACACCGTACTGCTGTCACACCTCTATACAGTCATCAGTACGACTTCGCCTTCGGACCTTGGGTTTGTCGCTTTTAGTCTTGCTGCTCCTCAACCGACATGTCTGGCATGGTAGGACCTTGAGGAACGGTTGTTTCAGCCAATATAGCTCGGTTGCTTCATCACGATAGGCAAGCCCGACCACCACGTCAAGGTAGCAGCAACGGTTGGGACGTAGTCCGTACCCAATACCATGGCTGAGTCCGATTGCTAGTGACTTTATGGACTGATGCCATGTGTTAGTTTGGCCGCCTCTAATTTCCTTTCAGCCTACTTCTGCACCAGAAAACATCGCTTGTTGAGGTAGGCGATAGTTGGGTATAAGTAACACGTCTCAACCACCTCAGTTGGTGAAGATTTACTACCTTATCGATCGATTTCCCATCTTTACCTAGTACTCTATTCCTAACTCTGGCATTGCTTACTCTGTGATCTCAAAATGCTTTGAAGACACCCATGATAGAACACTAGTAACCAACGAATATCCTTTACTCTTAATAGCCATGTTTCATATCCATAAAATAGAATAGAGCGAACTTCTGCGCAGTAAATTCTCCCTTTAGTTGAAAAACAGTTATCTCGCCTACTCCATATGTGATGCAAGTTAGCAAAAGCCAATCGAACCTTCTTACTCAGTGCACAGATTTTGTCAGACGCTAGAGCATCGGTAATGATGAGACTCCCAAGATAGGTGAAGCGGTCAGTGGGTTTAACTGCTTCAACACCTATCACTAATTCAGAGGATGACCCATGCCAATCCTGAAGTATCATTTTATATTTGGTGGGGCATAATCCCATCACAAACATACTCGCATTGTTGCTTAAAGTGGTCAGAAGACTTCACTTTGTCAACATCTTCGCCAAACAGAACTATATTATCTACGTATCCCAAGTCAACAAGTGAATCTCCTGGTTGAAGATCAACTGAAAAGTCAGACTACGAAAATGTTATTTCTAAAAGCATGCCTATGACAAAGTTAAGTAAAAATGAATAAAGCGGACATCCCTGAAGGACATCACTTGAAGTAGACAAGCCGGCGACAGTTCACAATAAGCTCTGACTCGACCAGAAGTGTTCGAGTAGAGATCCTGTACAAGGTTAACGTACTTCTTTGGGATGCCTATCAATGGCAGACACTGACAAAGAGCCTCACGATCAAGAGTCGAATGCTGCCTTAAGGTCAAGGAAAACAACTATAGTAGGACGTCAAAACGTATGTCCATGTTTCAGAATCTACCGAAGGCTGGATATTTGGTTCATACATCCACGTCCAGGTCTGACACCAGACTGGTTTTCTCGGATTCGCTCTTCGTAAGCTCTAGTTAGACGTTAAGGTATTATCCAGGTTAATATTTCAGGCAATAAATGGGTTAAACTTATTTCTTTATGGTTGTCTTTTCTTATAAGCTGGGACAATCAGCGATCGAGACTAGTCGGATGAGATTACATCCAGTTTCCAGATTTTAGTTAATCCAACTGCAAAAACCGGACCATTAGTTCATCAGTTTTTGCTGCTCGCCCTCGCTAGAGATTACTTATAGCCTTTTCAACCTGACTAAGAGTTGGAGGACTTTAGTTCCCCATTCAGGTTCCTTGAAGATAGTGGGTAACTAAAATGTCGCTGAAGGCAGGGTGAACTGTCCTCTAGTGTTCTGCTCATCGCTCCCAAATGCCCTGGTACGGTCGATGGTAGGAAGAATCCACCCTCCCTCTTGAAATGTTCTCATATGGCCACTCGTATACAGCCACCGCTAGAAGTTCTACTCACTGCGGGGTGTTGTTTACGAAATTGAGAGGATGAAAAGCGAATGTCTGTCACTCTAACTGGGTCGGTGGATATGGAGGATCTACCTCGAGGAGTTGGAAAACCTTGATTCCCAACCACTGGTGCATCCTCGTACCTATGTTTATCTTAAAATAAATAAGTTCTGCTCATCGGTTCAATATCTTGAACTGAGAGTGAATAATAGTCCCGTCTTTTTGCGAGATAGTTTCACTAATAGCCCTATTTTTAATACCTGTTTCCTTGATAACTCTGAACAGTTATGTTCAAATAAATGAATGAATAAAATCACTACTGCCCTTTTCGCTACCCACCACTGCTCACGATCATTACGTAGGCTTTTGATCAACCTACGTTTAAGCTGCCTCCACTCCTTATCGTGTTCTGAGCCAGACAGGATGAGTTTTCCGGGATCTATCAGTTCTGCAGACCCCACAGAAATCTACTGATTTCTCCTAACCTTATGGTTTAATTTACGTGGGATTAGATTTAGTTGTAAACCAGTTCCGAAAAATCCGTGCAGGGATTACACAAAAAGATGGCTCAGTCAGTCAGTTGCAACAGGAAGGTTATTAATCTAGGGTGTCGATCGCGAGACGCATTCTCCTTGTGATATAAGAAGTAACTGGGACCCACGGTTCGAAACTCTCGGTGTCAGCATTCGAAATTACTCGCCACATCACAAATATATTTGACCTTATTCACTCTACCAATCTTCAACTTAGTAATATTAAATACTACTCATTTCTCGGAATTATTTGTTCTTTCTGAACTTTGTCATATGTTTAGCTTTCGAAAATGATATATTATGATTTATATCTGTTTGCTTCTATTTTATCGGTTCCTTCTTACTAAGATGTCGAGTGCAGAACTTGAATGGGGGATATATTTATGCTAAATTCAGTATATGCGTGTAAAAAACCCTTAGTGACAAAGTGCGAGAACCAAGCTTACATCACAATAGAATTTCGGTGTTCAACATTCAAGCATTTGGGATACAATGGAGAAAGGCATAATTTCGTTGAAAACGAGATGTCATTACTGACTCACTTGACAATAGGGAATCTTGTGATGCTTAAAACGCTTGAATATGTCAGGAAATCTATTTGTATGGTTCTAAACTCAACTCAAAACATCATTTCACACTGATGGATTTTTATGAAAGCATTGTAATAGTAATATACTAACTGGGTGAGACTGAAATTTATGGACGACTTTTGAGCGACGCTAGAATGACCTTGGGAGTATCCACATAATTTGCAAAAGCACTTATGATCCAATTAAAGATAAAAAGGGGAGCCTACAATTTATGGACGAACCGATCAGATCAAATTCATCCACCGATATATCCAAATAAAATTCTGTTACGATTGATATTAGTTCGTGCTGAAAACCCTTTAATTATTAATCATAATCCTTAACTTCTCATAATAATTAATAGCCCTCTTTGGGCCCTAGTAATTTGGATATTTCTAGGTCACTGATGTCAAAGTTCGTTCGAGAATTATAGTCTCACAATACGACTATACTGCTCTCTCGAACTAAGGATGACGAAGTTTTGATCATTTTTCACTTGGCAGCTAAAGAAACTTATGTTTCTTTGTGCGACAACCAATATCCGAACATAAAAATGGCAGTACAAATGACTCGTTTACTGAAACGTAATTTAAGATTACAGTCCATTCAATGCATGAGTTCAGATATGAACGATATCTATATGACAATAAACCAGTGTAAGACTAACTAAAACAGAAAGCTAAGCAAAACAACAATGTAAGAATGGAAACTAAATTAGTGGACAAACTAGATATTGGGTCATCTGACGAACATATATATTCGTCATGGGTTGTTCTTGATACTTTTGCTGTTTAGAAACTGAGATCTTAATAAAAAATAGTGTCGAGAGATTTGAAAATGGACCACAAAACATGCCAGAAGATAGTCCGTCTAAAAAGAGGAAAGTAAACAGTACGTACTGCATGGTGGAGACGAAATAGGCTGCGAAGCGAATACACTTAAGGTCAGCGCGAGTAGAGCAACCCATTGTTTTTGAAACTGCGCAACCCGAATTTGAGCATTCGATTAGCGATTCTCGGTTTGTAATAGCGAAAATATCTGAAATGTAACAACATCAAAATAAGACGAAACGATATGATGAACCAGGGTCATATACCACGAAAAGTTCTACACCTCACAGGTTGCAAATTTAGAGCTTCCAAAATAGCTAAGAAGAGTTTGATTTTTAACTATTACTAATTAAACACGTCTCAAGAGAGCATCATGCCTATTCAGGTGTGAGGATATGATGCATGGGTTACTTTTCAGATGAAGTCTCAAGTGAGAGCTCAAAATATATTGAATCGGTAAATAAATCCCAAAAATCAATATCTCTGTAAGTCTTCGACAATTGATGCTGACCTCATTAGTTTCAATGGATATATCTCTTGCATTCTCACCATATCAAGAGTGAACATACTGTGCAACACATTTGCTACGATCGTTAGCTGGATTAGATCAAACACTTATCGAGATATCGACAGCTTGTCAAATATATCTTTGAACCTCCTTGTTTCTGACTTCTGATTTGACCAGGTCGTCATACTTCGATTACACAGGTGTTGCATGTAAAGGCGTTGTCGAATTCCGAAAAATTGTGGCATCCGCAGAGCATTTGAGAATTCAGATTTGAAGTAGGCTCTGTGGTATTGTATTGTATTACCTTATTTTATTATCTTCACTGTACACTTTGACAAAACATAAAATAGTTAGTCGGGCCGCAACTTTAATACAAATTCACATCTAAGGTATACTTTAAGAGGTAATGTATTGAAATCGTACTACCATATCTGACTCCGAACGTAATATAACAATCCCTTAGCACAGGGACCTGTTTAGTTTGTAGCGGTAACTAAATTTCCAAAATAAATAGCTCTGTAAGTTTTCAACATTGGATACTGACCACATTAGTTTCAATGGACTCACCTAGCTGAAGACGCTCGGTCATGCATCCTCACAAGATCACGAGTGGGAACGCTGTGCTCAACATTCCCTGCAATCGCTAGCCAGATTAGATCAGACGATCCTCGATATATTGATAGCCTATCAAATATATCTTCGAACCCCCTCCCTTATGTCTTTTCATTTCACTTGGTGGGTACGCTTCATATTAGGTGTTACTGGTCAAAGCGTTGTCAAACTCAGAATAGCTGTGGCATCTTCAAGTTAGACAAATATACAGTATGCAGTAAAAAAGTTTAGGTTTTGGTATCACCAGAAACTGTTAATTGTATTTTTAAACGAAGTACGAATTTAAATAATGAGCACAAACAAATCAAAAATGAAATCAAGTGAGTTAGAACATCCTAAATAATTCATAGTACACATAAACAGTAACAGCATAAACTAAAATGTCAAACATGTATCTAACAATACGCAAAATAAAGCTACTTTATGTGCCTTATAGGTTAGCTAGAAAATTGATGTGGCCGACATTGGATAACTAGCTAACAGCCATTTTATCTTATAATAGTCAGAACCAAAAACCACTGCTATTTCCACGACGTAATTGGGGACGTAATGTTAGTACAAACATAGATTTATTCCCACCTCTCCCCTCAAAACAAGTTGACATTTACTGAATATACTTTCACTTATATAACCCTTTTACACAATTCATAAATAAATAACAGATATCACACAGCGGACATGCACGAAAATACCTCTAGAACGTTGCGCTACTTTTTAAACACATTAGTCATTCCACTGTTTTTCCATTATACCGTACTCTTGTGTTCTCAGCAATCGTAAAAACGTTACTAAGCAAATGCTTTGTTGCTTGCTGTATAATTATTATTTCATCAGTTAGTTTTTACACTCTCTTGCAAACAACTATGGATTTTCGTCCCTGTACACATAGACTGGAGTGAATGTCCATGTATTATCGTCTAATTGCTTCGTCAAACTGAAGATGGATTGTGAGAGCGGTTACCATGTTATGTTCACATAAGTTATTCTAGCCTCTGGGCAGATTCTTCTCGAGCCACGTTTTTGCCGTGTCAGTTATTCGTCGTGATTGTTTTCTATTTGACCGTTTATGTGCCAATTACCTACCTTACTCATCACATTTCTGTAAGTTATTTCTGGTATGATCATAAATATTGATTCACACTTGGCTAAAGTGAATTGGTTCGCTCGCTTTCTACATTGCGTCACTTGGTTTTGCTTTGCTTTCGGATCAAAGGTTGTATGAAATATAGGTATCCAAAAATCCATTCCTGTATTTTGATTGGTTAATTCCGTTATTCAGGAACGCGATTTAAGTCGATGATTATATACGAAGATTAACGATATTTATATTTCGATAACAAGCAGCAAACGATCAATTCGGTGTCAGATATAGGGTCACAAAAGGATACTTCATTTATGACATATATCTTATATACTGTTATTCGTTCATACACAATTCACTCCCGTAGTCCGTCCAAACGCTTTTGACTGCCGAGTAAGCTTGTTTGAAATAAATCTCATTTGACAACACTTCGTGTCAGGACTTAGTCATTACTACATTGGTGGGTGGGGGTGCAGACGAAAACACGATATTTTAGATGAGTGACAGTTTGAAGTAATACGGATAAGTTAGAGATAAGAATTTCTTGGCTGAAAACATCTAAACTACTACAAGAAGTCCATGTTACATGAGACGCCGAGTGAATTTCAGGAAGTGTATAAAGTACATGAAAAATATTACCCCGAGTGAACTCCACACATAAAAAATTCAGGTGGCTCCATAAGAAAACAAATATTTCGCTGAGCTGTACCTCTTGTGAATTAAAACAGGAATCATATTGAACAAAAACCGCTTGTTAGAAAACCTGATCTAGCCATTCTATCCTTTCTTAGCATTTCTTAAGCATAGTGCAGTTACTTTGAAAAATGCGAACTCAGAAAGTATTCTTAGAATAACCATACGATTATTTGACAGTATCTGCATCAGTGAACCGTAAAACAATCAGGTTATAGTCAAAAGTATATCTTAAGAACTTAAAACGGTGAGAAAAAATGTTCTTTGGGAAATGTGGTAGTACCATGTCTCCAAGAAACAAGAGAAGTAACCACAGATGAATGCAAACAACTAGCCACACCAAATTAATAATGTGATCTTGATTTGCGCAGGAAATTGAGATTGAAGATTTTCAGAAATGAACTACGGAAATCACAAAGGCTTTGCCTTATGTACCTGTGAACGTATAGTAATAACATTTGATGAATGTGCGTTTTGTTTTTTAGCCATTCCACTGAAAACTGATTAGCTTTTTGCGTATTTTGGGTGCTGTGGTGCTTTGATAAGTTGGCTATTGTCTTCAAATTTCCTAGTTGTTAAAAATATACAGTCTTGCAGATCTTCATAATAAACATTTTGTTTAATTCCCTTTAACAAAAGATGTGTTAGAAGTGTCTGGGCGACTTGTGAATGCACAATGATCTCGAATTTTGTAGTTCAGAGTCAGATAAATCAATGCATGTTGAACGGCCTCCCTAATATAGTCTTCTTACCACGCCTTGACATTACTAGTAAGTAGAATCTGAGGGTTATATACACGAATTCCGTCTGATCTAATTTTAGCTTATAATGGATGACTTGGACTGTTGGAATACTCAGAAAAATATCCCAAAAACAGTTATCCGGTTAAGTCTAACGCTACCCTTGAACGTTAAATGGTGTCATTTCCCTATTGCTCGTTTCCCTACTGATCAATATTTATTTCGCGTGTCATTTTCCTATTGGTCAATATTATTTGACGTGTCATCTTTCTGTTGGTCAATATTTATAGTGATCCTAACTGTATAAATATGCATTTGTTTGTAAATCATTATTGTGCTGCTCCTGATCCCATAAACGATTTTTCATCTACGGTTCGTGTTCTGATATACTGGAGATTGGGAACAGTATTGGGGTCGGACTGGGATATCTGAAGCTTGTCAATCGGTAGAATTTAGAGTAGCCAACTCGCGATTCACAATAATTTGGCGACGGAGATTGAGCAACAAGTTGGTGATTAACTATGGATTCAGCCAAATTAGAAAAATTGTTCGAACAGCAGCTGAAGCTGATGGAGATGATTACTCAGACGCACATATCTTCTCGAGTCCCAACTACACCGACAATCCCTGAATCAGTTGATGGTATTACCAGTGGTATTTCAGAATTTCTTTATGATCCTGATGCCAACATTACATTTGATACCTGGTTCAGACGTTATGAAGACCTTCTCAAAGTTGACTTTGCTGACAGAGATGATTCGTGGAAGGTGCGTCTTCTTCTTCGTAAACTCGGTCCATCCGAGCTGGATAAATATTGCAACTTCATTCTACCGCAGAACCCACGCGACCGTCCCTTCGATGCCACTATTCAGTCCCTTAGCCAACTTTTTGGTGATCATCACTCACTCTTCAGTACCCGATATCGCTACTATAACTGGTCATGAATGAGTCCGATGACTTCCTGACCCACGTCGGCGTTGTTAACCGTGAGTGCGAACGGTTCAAGCTCAGATCCCTCACTGAAGACCAATTCAAGTCCCCAGTACTCATATGCTGTGTTCAGTCACCCAAATTCTCCGACATCAGAACTCGGTTGCAAAACCGCCTTGAACAAGATCCAACACTGGCACTCAATGCGTTCATAGACGAGTACCAGCGCATTATCAATCTGCAGCGTGACACCACGTTGGTTCAATCTGGGGGCCAGGGTGGTTCCGAAGTTCGTGCTGTTCAGCACCAGAAAAAATCTTCGAGATCGAGAAACTCGAGTCCTTCGAACGCCAGCACTGTTTCTATCTCTAATCACTCCAAGCCAGCTCAGAAGAAGCCCCCCTCGCCATGTTGGCACTGTGGAGCCTGGCATTATGTAAAGTTCTGTCCATTAAAACAGCATGTGTGCGATCGCTGTCAGAAAGTTGGTCACAAAAGCGGCTTTTGCAAATCCAACCGATTCAATAACCGTCGAAATGCACAGACGCAGCGTCGTTTTCACAAAAAGCCGATTACCTCATCAAGGAGTGTTGCAGCAATCTTCCATACTCATGCCGCGACTCGACGCAAATTTCTGACCCTCTCAATCAATGGTCAGCCAGTTCGTCTGCAGTTGGACACCGCATCAGATATCACCATTCTGTCGAAAAAGACCTGGCGAACCTTGGGCTAACCTCCCATCAAACCATCCTCTCAGACAGCCGTCAGTGCCTGTGGGGGTCATCTCCGCCTTCATGGTGAACTCTATTGCTGCATTTCATTCAGAGGTATAACCTTCAATGGGACGTGCTACATCACCAATTCTCTGCTCAACCTTTTAGGTTTAGATTGGTTCGAAGAACTTGGTCTCGCTGATCTTCCTATTAGCGCTATCTGCAATCAAGTCTAAACTACTGCTTCTACACAACAGCATGCTGAAGACCTTCGAAAACGATTTATTGAACTATTTAAGCCTGGTCTCGGACTTTGTTCCACAACTGAAGCTGTTTTAAAACTGCAGCCAGAAGCTACGCCAGTTTTTCGCCCGAAGCGTCCAGTCCCATACGCATCTTTACCTCTGGTTGACGCTGAACTTCAACGTTTGGAAACTGAAGGTGTCCTAGTACCTGTTTCTTATTCATCATGGGCTGCACCAATTGTGGTTGCAAAAAAATCCAATGGCTCCATACGCATCTGTGCAGACTTTTCCACAAGGCTCAACGCGGCTCTACAACAGCATCACTATCCGCTGCCGATCCCAGATGACTTATTTACTATTTTAAATGGTGGTACCTATTTTGCTAAGCTGGATCTGGCAGATGCTTACCTTCAAATTCCAGTCGCTCTAGAATCCAGAGAGTTGTTGACAATCAACACTCACCGAGGGCTTTTTCAGTATACCCGGTTACCCTTCGGTATCAAAACTGCTCCAGCGATCTTCCAGCAGATCATGGACACTATTCTGGCAGATGTTCCTGGTGTTGCTACATACCTTGACGATGTGCTCGTTGTCGGCTCAACTGCTGATGAATTGCATACCAGAACCCATTTAGTTCTGCAACGCCTCCAGGATAATGGTTTTCGCCTGCGCCCAGAAAAATGCCAATTCTTCTCACGTTTCGTTAAGTTCCTGGGGTTTATCTTTGATGCTTCCGGACGACACCCTGATCCTCAAAATACTTACGCAATCCAACAAATGCCTGCTCCCACTGATGTCTCCTCACTGCGATCATTTTTGGGAATGATTAGCTACTATTCAGCATTTCTTCCATCACTGCATGACGTACGATATCCATTAAATCGTCTGCTAGAAAAGAATGCTACTTGAAATTGGTCAACGCAATGTGAGTCAGCCTTTTCAAAACTTAAAGCCATGCTAAGTTCCAATCCCCTGCTAACCCACTACAATCCGAAACTACCCATTGTGGTTGCTGCTGACGCTTCAACACATGGACTGGGTGCCGTAATCTCACATGTCTTTCCCGACGGGTCAGAGAAAGCGGTGATGCACGCTTCGAGAACACTAACACCTGCTGAGAAACGCTACGGCCAGATAGAGAAGGAAGCGTTAGCCCTAATTTTTGCTGTCCGGCGATTCTACAAATTCATTTACGGGCTCCGTTTCACCTTGCTCACAGACCACAAGCCTTTGTTATCAATCTTTGGATCAAAGAAAGGCATTCCTACCCAGTCAGCTAATCGTCTTCAACGTTGGGCGTTGGCGTTATTGGGGTACGACTTCGATATCTAGTATCGACGTTCCGAAGATTTTGGTCAAGCAGATGCACTGTCCAGACTTATCAGTAACCATTCTACCACTGATGAGGACACACTCATAGCCATAGTATCAACCGAAGAGGATTCCGGTGCTACACTATTGGCGAACGCCGTTCGAGCAATGCCTGTTACCACTGAAGATGTTCGGGAAGCTACCAGAGAAGACCCGATTATCCAAGAAGCGATCACCTATGTTCAGAACAGATGGCCAGGTAAGCAGCTGAGTGGTGAAATGCAACAACTAGTGAATCGTCGCAGCGCTCTCTGTATTGTTAACGATTGTCTGATGTTCGGTGATCACGTAGTAATTCCAACAACCCTACGTTCCAAAGTCCTACGCCAATTCCACTCTGGACACCCAGGGATAAACCGTATGAAATCCATCGCTCGCAGCTATGCATATTGGCCAAATATGGACAAGCAGATTGTCGACTTCGTCAAAAGGTGTTCACATTGCCAAAAAGCTGCGAAAAATCCTCCTAAGTTGCCTCCTGTACCCTGGCCAAAGTCAGAAAAACCCTGGTCGCGAGTGCATATTGACTTCACTGGACCCCTAGATGGTACCACATATCTGATACTGGTTGACTCATACTCCAAATGGCCGGAGATATTGCCGATTGCGCCACTCTCTACAACTCGGACCATCAAACTCCTTAATTGGATCTTCGCCCAGCATGGTCTTCCAGAAACAATAGTAACAGACAATGGTTCACAATTCACATCTAGCCAATTCCGAGAATTTTGCCTGTAAAATTCGATCAACCATGTTCGCTCTCCGCCATATCACCCACAATCTAATGGACAAGCTGAAAGGTTCGTTGGTACATTTAAACGAGCCATGTTTAAAGCACGAGGGGAAGGGACCACAGAAGATATCATAGAACGATTCCTAGTTGCGTACCGGACGACCCCGCATGACTTATTGCCAAACTCCAAATCCCCTGCTGAGATGCTTATGGGGCGAAAACTACGGACAGTTCATGGTGCGATGAAACCCAAGCAAGTGGCCCAGCAAAGCCCCCAGATGAAGAATACTCGAATTCCCTACGAAGTTGGTACAAAAGTGTATGCGCGAGATTATAGACACGGATGCGATAGATGGGTAGAGGGTGAAATCACACAAAAACATGGGAACGTCATGTATGATGTCAAGGTGAACCAAGAAATCTGGACCAGACACCACAATCAACTCGGGTCAAGGGAAACGAAGGAGAAAGAAGCAATTACAAAACGCGTCCCACTCGACTTGCTGTTGGACACGTTTCAACTTCCGCCAATACCTCCAACAGAGACGACTAAGTCATCTACTCAAGTAGAACATCCTTCTGGTTCTGTGTGGTTGCCTCGGAGGTCGGATCGCAAAAGAAGACACCCAAAGAAACTTCAAGTAAACCCTCAGTTACGTCGCTATTAACTTCTTCAAAGGTGAGGTGTTGGGATACTCAGAAAAATATCCCAAAAACAGTTATCCGGTTAAGTCTAACGCTACCCTTGAACGTTAAATGGTGTCATTTCCCTATTGCTCGTTTCCCTACTGATCAATATTTATTTCGCGTGTCATTTTCCTATTGGTCAATATTATTTAACGTGTCATCTTTCTGTTGGTCAATATTTATAGTAATCCTAACTGTATAAATATGCATTTGTTTGTAAATCATTGTTGTGCTGCTCCTGATCCCATAAACGATTTTTCATCTACGGTTCGTGTTCTGATATACTGGAGATTGGGAACAGTATTGGGGTCGGACTGGGATATCTGAAGCTTGTCAATCGGTAGAATTTAGAGTAGCCAACTCGCGATTCACAATATGGACACAAGAACGTATTAGTTTAATATATTTTTGCTATACTCGAACACCTTCACATTGCTGTGACGGTGCCCCTGGATGCTGTGCAGGGATACGAATGCGGAATCCGGGATAACACATTATGGGTTTTAAAAACTTTGGAAAGCGATAAGTCAACAAATAAGCTACTGCCAATAACATAAGCAATAAAGTTGTTACGGGAAAAGTTAGATGTACGTTATATTAAATATTTCCTGCCAAATTGTTAGCTGAGTGAATCTGTTCAGTATCGAACACTAGCGTCCAAATTGTGACCAGAGTTTAACATCTATTAACTGCAATTTCGTATCACATTTTGTTTATCCACTATCTCATATAACCTCAAGTTTCATATCGTTTTTATATTAAGCCTTATGATGAAGAATGTTGGTGTTTGTAAGTATTACTCTTTTATATGTATCTGCGTATAAAAAATAATACAATTATTACAATTATCATTACCGTTTTGAAAATAAAACCTTTTGCTCTCTTATATCACTAGGACGGGATTTTGACCAAGATGATTCTTTAATCATATCGGATAAGATTTACTAGGTTAATTGAGTTACCGAGATTTATTTTTAATCAAATAAAAAACTAACCATTGATAATGAGATCCAAGTACTAATAAGTTTATTTACCATGTCAAGGTTTATCTTCCAGTTGTGCTTTATACGAGTTATCCAATATACCCATCTTTGCACATGATATAAGTAGTCTTATTTACAATTCTCAGCTGTCTATGCCTTTTGTCCTTTTTCTCTTGGACTGGGTTGTCCAAGAGTTAAAGGAGTAAATTCAAGACCTATTTAGATCGCAGATCATATCAGGATCCAACTGTGGTAATGAACAGGCCAAACATGTAAGGATAGTCGCACCTGAAACATCAATCTAATTTTCCCCATCACTTGGTTGCAGATGCTTAGTAGTTTTTTTTACATATCTTTGAACTATAAAATTTAAAAAATTATCGTTTCAACCTAACGAGTAAATCAGTCAAAGATATAGTGAAAGTGCTTCTAGTGGTACCATTTTATTGCAATTTACTACATTTGCTAAGACATCAATAACTAAATGTAGGAATCTGATAGGATTAAAAGTCTTCTGAAAGAAACCCCGATGTTTCCCCAACTAAACATTACTGGTAAATTTCAGCTACAGACAGAGGTTAACATCATGTCTTATCCCGTAATATTTGTTAAAACTTAGCGATCAGCAGATGTGATTAAGCATTTATTCAGGTATCATAGTATTCAGACCATAACCCACGCAAAATTAGTCAGCTGGTCAAAGCTTTCTAACCTCAAAGGCTTATAAATTGTACAGTCGAACCCCGTAACAATAAGCGAGTCATTCTCCTTTAGTTTTTCCCGTCTTCACACTATTCATATAAAATAGCAGAAAGCCACAAACCAACCCCACCAAAAAAAGCAAATGAGACAACAGAGAGTTAGATTCTATTGACAACAGAAAGTAAAAGTGAATAAAATATATTAAGACTATCAAGTAGAGTAATAGTCATTTTACCGAATTTATCAAAAAGAAATAAAATACTATTAGAGATGATGCTTCTTGGACCGCATGCAGATTGAACCATTTAAAGAAGATAATTCATTTGATGCTGTAATAAACCTTCGTTTAAATATATGCTGTAAATAAACAACATGGGAACGAGAGATAGTGTGATGTATTTTTCATGACATTTTGTTGTTTATCTTAATTTTTCAACAATGTTTTCATCAACTATTATTAGTTATAGTTATATCATCCCAAAGCTTTCTTCATTTTACAATCAGGTTAGCTGTATGTGGAGGTTAAATAATGTAGGCAAGCAAATGTATCCGAAGCGGTTAACAGTTTCTCTTATCATGTCGGAATAAATGTAAAGGGATTAAGCAGACACTTGTATATTCATAAAATACACGATTTGTGATGCAATATTGTTGAAGTGCCGCATTTCGTGAACCTATAAAGTACCGGTTGTGAAATCTTACTGTAACCTCCATAGCCCAGACTGATTCCAACATTTCCAGTCCATGAATTGTTCTTTATTATAGAGGATACTACTGAAATGTTTCAAAGTAGGTTGGAAATGTTAGCAACGTTTTCAGAATTTACGACAATATATTTGTGAAAATGTAGCTCTGCATAACTGTGAATCAACCAGTAAAAATCCAACAGGATAAACTACAGAACTCATGTAAGCTAACCATTTAAAATGTATCAAAGTTCCAATGGACAATAGATGAAAATAATTCGAGTTACTCAACAGCAAATGACTAAGAGATGCAGTAATAAATGGTGACCACATGGCTATAGTTATCGCACATAAAATCATGTTAAGCTTTATTGCTTTCTGTTCAGGAAAGCATTTACAGGTTTCATTTGACCATGAATTACTGTTCCGCCGATTCAGTGACTCTTTATGTTGCTGTTGTTGCTTTTGGTCATTTGATCGAGACTGTGATAAAGTATTGTTTTGCTTACATGTTTCAGATAATAAATCGTTATCTTTATCTAGATCACTTAACTTGTTAAAAATAATATGACTAGTGAACGATGATGCATAAGTTACATTTGTTGATGGTGGCAATCTAACATTCCTTATATTCAATGAATTATTTTTTTTCTGTCCACTTTGTGGAATTACTTCATTATTTTGTAGTGTGAATTCATGTGTTCGTTGGTCATCGTATTGACCTGGTTCAATTTCTTCAATGACTGATAATAAGGGGTTATAAAAACACTCTGGTATTATTACTTGACCATGTTGAGGACAAAAATGTTTGATGATTTTTTGGAACCTATTATCATTTACTTTTTCAATTTGATGATTATTGTTTAATACTTCCTGTGGACAATCATTATCATCATTGTTACTGACAAAATTGTTAATAGGATTGGGTGAATGAGTGCTAATAATATCATAATTATTTATTTTTGGCGTAAACCAGCTATACTGTATGATTTCGTCCGTCTCTTCAGTTGTTTGACTTGAAATTCCAGCATCAGAAGAACTTGATCCATGTTGATATTGAGATGTTGTTAGTGTTGTTGGTAGGGATGATACTGGTGTCATATGTAACAAGACAGGTGAATGTAAATGTTTTTGAGATAGAGATTTGGAATATTTTCTTATACAAGTTCGATTATCAATAGCTTCACCGATAATTAGATTCGAATTCAATATATCCTCATCTGCATTTAGATTTGTTTCTATCCATGAATGTCGATTTTCAATGAATTTATTATTTTGAATTCTGTGAAACGTTTTATATTCAGGTTGAAAATTCTTCAATCTGCTTAAAGAATTACAGTTTTTCTGTTGTGTAGATAAATAAGATAACATTTAAAAATATCCACAATAATAATTCACATAATTTTTATTGAAAAATACCATGTAACAGTATTAGATACCATAAATCAGCGTTAGTGATGTATAGTTTATTAATTTGAAGAAAATCATAAATTCGTAAATAGCAACTAAAAAAAGTGAGTAACATTGAACAGCCAATAAATTTCAGGCTGAATAACTGCCTAGAAGATGTTCTGAATCACTATCTTGTATTATACTATGAATATGTGTGGAACACTGACAACCAATAAAATATAACGAAGATCTATTACCAAACTTTGGTGGATACGGAAACCTATTGAACTTTAGTTTATCAAACAGTAGGCAATAAAGAGTTAAATTTTATTTGAAAATAGTGTCATAATTTAACACAAAATTTACTTCTTTGTTATCGAAGGATTTTTATTTCAACTGAGCAAATATTTATCATCACTTTTTGATTGTACGGAAAACATGATTGGGACTTGCTAAAAAATTATAAAATTGAGAGAACGCTCCAAACACTGACCTACAATTTGAAACACCGTTTATATTGTCGTTTAAAAAATAATACAAGAAAATGGCATACGAGTTACTTTTCTAGAATCACCTCTGTTGCCTAATGAATAAATTAATGCTAAACAAACAGAATGTAGCTGTTATACATTGTATAATCATTTGAACCGACTAAATTAAATGAACACACAGTAATCTGTTAGTACTTCCATCACTATCTTTATATCCTATTAGGATAAGAAAAAACTAATCTGTTTTAGTTACTGACAGAATTGTAAAATCAATAAGAGAACCCTTGTTGTCTACCCAATAAAAATTATCAGACTTCATGATTGAATAAGTTCATCGTTGTATGTAAAAGTAGTTATTAATAGAAGGAACTAAAGTACGTGTTTGTCATACAATTTGTCAATAATTCATTGTCTCTTTCAAACTACTGATCAAACTACTGTTTAAATATGTTTTATTCTAAAGTTTTCTTCTAATAATTCTATTTAGTTTTTGCAACAGATTTATAAATCATTGTAACAAATATATGTATACTGAATCAGGTTATCCACACGAATCTATCATCTTCAGAACAGCAATAAAAAATAATCAATTAGTGAATTTTTCCTGGACAATGAGTGGGAATTCAAATAACACTATAAACTGGAGGATTTAAATATACGGTTTATCACAAACTGAAAATATTTAACAACGAGTGCAGTACATCTACCTAGTTAGTTTCAATGTATTCTTTGATCATCATAGAATCTCGGCACTAGAGTATATTCACAGTTATTATTCTTTGGTTAGTATCTGTAAATGTATCATTTGTAAAGATAGATTATTCTATTAAAGATTTGATTTGATGGCTCATCCAAGTGCTCCCTTGCTTTTGAACAAATCTAAAGCCGTTACCCATATATATATATATATATATAGTCTCTTCATAGGAGTACATGTTCTGTCAGCGAATCTATTAATTGCCTGGACTTCCAAAACAATTTATAAATTTCAAATGAAGCTAAAAATCATTTTTTACAAAGCAGTTTCAGTTTTTATTATTGTTTCTATGTCTTCAGAATTTTTCAGCTTAAAGCCTTACATATCTGATATGGTAAATTATTAACGAGTGAAAAATCATTCCAACATAATTGACCAGTAAATAAAATATAATACTCATTTTACTTGATACAAAAATAACTTTTATAACAGACAAATATAAACTATAGAATCATTTAAAACTTATAGAGTTCTGGGTAAGTGGTTTGAGATTACACAACATTGAACAACTATAACTATACACTATAAGACATACGTATCTGGCAACAAGCATAATACTTTAAGACTATTGAGTTAGAATCTAAAAGCTTGCATTTCCAAATTTGTTCATTCATGTATGTAATATATTGGCTACCTGATATCATTAGAGGTAAAGGGAAATAGCTAATTTTAACTTAGATGACTTCATCAATAGCAATTTGACATGTAAAGTTTGTAATACTATTTTGAAACTAACCACTAATTTACACATGATGATTATCATATTCAAATGATTTCATTAAAACAAATAAGATACGTTACATTTTTGAAATTGAAATGTTATTGAATAACAAAGTTATACATATAGAACTGAAACGGACTTTGATCACTATTATTATTATTATTTCATTGAAAATTTAGTTAGATATTGTAAAATCACATCATAGTTGTTTTCTTTTTTTAAATTTATTCATTCTGCTAGTTGGTATTTGAATTTCGCGAGCGGGATAGTGGATGCTCACTATTGAGGAGTCCCATAATAGGACGAAACGGCTGTCCAGTGCTTCCAGGTTTTCAATGATGGTCTAATATCAATCGGTTCATGATCTCAATCAGATATTTTATCAATGGCCATGTAATTCCATGAAAATAAAATTCTCTCCTTTGTCAGAAACTTTCGTTTCTATTCTTATTTTATTTTTATTAGAATATTTATTCAATTATTTTATGAATAGATGATTTCATTGTTATGTCTTGCTGATTGGACGCTATATTCGTTCCTAAGCTATTCTGATACTCCGCACGCTAGAACTATACAGCGACCTGAACATAAGAAAGAAGACGCAAAGTATAAGAGAAACACTTTACTTCAAGGTTCGTTTTTTGTACAGAAAACATGGGTATTTATAGATGTTATCATTCGTTAAATCAACATCATATTTCGACCAATCCGTTGGCGACATATTATACTACTGAACAATAGTAGCGCGCCACGTTGGAATTCTAGAATGCTCCATCATGCTCTGGTTGGCTAGGTCTCTTCGGCTCCTTTTGGGCCTCTGGAGGCTCCACTGAAGTTCTCCGAAAACCGACTTAACATTCATTTTAATAGACTAAAGATTATTTTTGATACTGTTGTCAATTTAGTTTGATTGTTGATTTTTAATCGATTACGTAAGGTTTTGACAACGCGACAAAAATGCATATCACTTATTGCTTTTCGTATGAACAGTTGGTGAGAAAAAAATAAGTGGATTAAGAAAAGAAAATTGCATTGATGTTATATTACTTCTATTGATAGTCCCCTCTCCTTTTCTGTCTCTCTCTTTACAAAAAACCAGTCAAGCGAAATCGTTTTGGAGACAGTTATATATATATATATATTTCAATATCTTTTGCGACTATCAGTCTAAACTGTATAGAAAAAGCCTGTGTTTCTTCTGATTATTGATTAAAATGGTTGATAAACTGATGTGATAACTATGAATTATTACGAATTTTTTAATAGTATGTACATGATAATATTTTAGTTTGAACATTTACATAATCAAACATGCATTTCCTATTGACTTTTAAAATTTTCTCCTTCAGTGTAAGTAAATTACGAAGGATAGCCCTCTAGTAACTCACTCATATACTTTATTGATCTCTTTATAAACTCTCAATTTTTTTAGTAAATCAGTAACCACTAAAAGTAGTAATACTGACCAGTTTCACAAATACAATGAAGAATATAGATATCAATACCAAAGTTTGACTTGATAATTTCGAATAAATTGACCATTGGGTAGATTTTTATAAATAAATTAGTATATTTGTAATATCCTAATGAGTAGAAAAATTAGATTTTCTGACGTTTTGTGACTTGGTGTAAGCTACTTCAGAGAATAAATAATAGTGTAATTTTTGTCAAATCCTCACTAAGCAAAGAGATATACTTCATACAACAACGACATCAAACTTGAATATCCGTAAAACCGATCAAAGTGTTCAACTCTTTGGGAAATATTAAATAGAGAAAGCGGAACATTTTTTATTACAAATCACTTGGTCTCTAAGCATGAAGTCTTGTGTTAATCATGTGAATGCTTTTGTGAGATGTATTTATCCACAAACCCATTACGGATTGATGATTGACATATGTACAAGTGAAAATAATAAAAGAGATAGCCCTTGAGGCACATACGTTAATTAAATGATGATCTTTGGCGGGATGGAAAACACCCTTTCAAAAAGGACGAATTATTATAAAAATTACTGTTTCTCTTCCAACTTTTTTCTCCTTACATTTATTACAAATCAAACGGACATAAATTTCTTTCGGTTGATGAGACAAAGGACAATAGCTCACTTCTTCACACGTCTATGAAAAGTCTTGGAAGAAAATATCCAGGGTTTATCTTTAATACAAAGATTAACAGTCAAACTAGTGGATTTAGTTGCAGAAACGTAAGTTAAAAATCGAGAGCGGTATTGTTTCATTTAACAATAAGATTTGTTTGACCAAGTTTACAATGATGCTTCTTAAGCTGGATGGTACTCTGATTCCAATAAAAATTAACTAATTAGAAATGTATCGATCATTTAGATTAATTTGACAATTTTTGGAATACTGTGCTAGTGAACAAACAAACGATTATTAAATCACCCTATGGAGTTATTATAAAGATCAGGAAATACACAAAATATTTGTCTGTAGGGAGAGAAATAAAGAAAACAATGACATATTTTAAAACTATCATTTTAAGCACATTTTAAACAACAGCTACAGAATATGAAAACCAGTTAGATGAAGCATTTAGGTTTCAATGGTGAGGAGTAGTAAAATACCCTATGAAATGTGTAGGGAAGGAATATGGCCCTCCAACTATAAAGTGAGAGCAAAACTAAAAATTCATAGACTCAATAAGAAACTCCAACTAACGCATCACCCGAAGCAGCAATTCAAAAAATAATTCCGTCGTAAGTTATTTGTTTTCCACAAATTTGAGAGATCTGGAGATCGGGAATAGTGAACTTATTGTGAACACATTGTTAGTGATATCTAAAGTCTTCTGCATAAACTGATTCTCACAGATCTATAAAAGAATTATCTCATTTAAAACGTAGCTACTGTGAAATAGAAAACCAGATATAAATTGGTAAAAGGTATTTATACCTGTGTTTCAGTCTATGGAAAAAATAGCTTACAACTTACATTTACTGGTAAATAATTTTGATGAACC